CAAAAGTCTCAGGTGAACCTAGTTGTTAAAAGAGAAGTGATATATATAGGAAGAGAGGCACATTAGATCGCACATACAGTGTCCACCCATGTCAGAGTACCCAAAGGCAGATGCTTGGGAAGAGGAGAAGGAGCAGGCAGAGTGCAAGTGCATTCCAGTATTTTTCTCCGCATATTCTTTCAACCTCCACTTATGGCTTAGAAGTTTATAAAGCCCCTGCATGGGACTATATCTTTTTATTTTGGTGTCCAAAGTTATTTTTCGTCCAGGTAGTCCAGCTACTTTTTTACCCATGTAAATTTTCTGATATTCAAAAACTTGCCGGGCAAAGCACTGTACTGCATGACCTGGGGCTGTGTAGAAGATTTTTTTTTCTTTTTTCTTTTTTGCTTGCTTGTTTTGTTCCTTCCTTCTTTTACATCTTCTAGTGTCAACTGACTGCTATAATTGTGTTCTGAAAAAACAGCGAACAACTGCTTCTGCTTTACCACCTTCACTCCAGTGACAAGTTTATCTACCACATTCCCACTCAGCTGTTTCCCTTCCAGGCTATCAAATACTAAAGGCTCAGCAGCAAAGGAAAAAAAAAAAAAAAAGGAAAATGATGATGCTGATTTATGGACCAGATGTTTATAACAATTCAAGGGGATGCATCCTCGGATGGGACACACTGGAGTAGTTAACTTTAAAAGTCCTGTTACATAAATCTTCAAGGAAAACTTGCTTTAAAGCTTCCCTCCACGACCTTTCGTCTGGGACCTGTCAGGTTCACCATGTAAAGAAACCTAAACTGCCAGATTCTCTTCTTGAGGAAAGTAAGTTTTCTTTCGTGGTGCTTTGCTACTCTCATTTCCCCACAAGAAAAAAATAAAGAAAAAAGCCCTCTTCCTGTACCGAAGAAGAGAGTAGGTGTTCTTGGCGCTCTGGAGGAAGCAACAGACAAACGCTACGATTTTTAGCAATTTCCTGAGAAGTGACAAAACACCAGAAACTCCCGCCACCGCCGCGCCGAAGTCGGTTTGTTGCGAAGCCCCGCGCGGAGCTG